TCAAGGAAAAATTATTTGTCTACAGGAGGGAACAAATGAAGCATACACTGTAGGCAAAAGCAAGTTACATAGTACATGTACATGTATAGCCTATCAATGATTAAGACCCTATTCTAGCCCTCTCATACACTTGAAGTCTGCTGAGATTTAATTCTCTTTAAGCTGTACATAGTGAGGGGAGCTGGGAGCTGACCCTTAGATATGTCCCTGATTTCCAAAGATAACCTCTTTGTGGCCCTGACTTTAATTTGTTTCTCTGACCACATACATGCACATGTACAGGTAACACACATAATTTATGTGACACAAAATCTTTCTATTCAAACACTAATTGTGATTTACGGTAAAAAGGAGAGTGATACAAAAAATGTATCTTCTTTTAAAAGTAATTTCTTGACAGGCAGGCTCTTTTCCCTATTTTAGTACATGTATCCAGTGCTGGTAATAAGTTTTCTTCTTTAACAGGACATGTGTCCTTTCAAATCTTCATTTTGGTGGGATATCTTATCAATTTGACTGGACATTAATTTGCGTAATTGATTAGCATAATTAATTAGCATAAGAAAATTTATTAGGTGCAAAATTTAAAATAATGCTTGAGTAGCCATTTGGCGAGTAAGTGATAAAAATCAAGTGGAATTTTATTCAGAAAAGAACTCAATGCATAAAATCTGTAAAGAAAAAATTTCCAAGACTTTTTTGGCCGCTAATTTTGTGTATGCATTACAAAAGACACAATCAGTATGCATACATGATGTACTCAATGCTCAAGGGTTTGCAATGCATTATAGAGCGATTTCAAACACGATCAGCCATCTGCAAGTTTTCCGATGTGAGGGAATCCTTTACAGCAAAGCAAAAGGATACATTGCTTTCTTTTCTTATGCTGAATGATATAGAAGCAAAGATCTTTCACTATGTATTTCTGGAAGGACATAATGACTGAGAAAATAACCATTATTGTCAACACAGAGAAACGTAGTCGCCATTTATGGTAGCCTGTGAACGCAGACATATTCTCGGTTGTCGACTAAACCAGAATTTTTGGTCGCCAAAGATGAAATTTAAGCCGCATTGGCGACCGTACCAGTCGCAACTTTGAGCCTTTTTAACAATTTATGTAACCAAATTTTATGGATGGTCAATAGGTGTTAATTGGTGAAATGTTCGGACATCATGTCCGATCAAAATGTGAAATTGGCCAGACATATTCAAAATTTGGTCGGACAATGTTCGATGACCGACTGTTATTTCCAGCCCTGTGTATCTCTTGGCTGGGCTCATCTTGCAATGCCTGTTGAAACTTTAACGGCTAACAAGCATAGTTGACAGATTTAAACTGTATGTGTACAGATAAGTTGTAAAGATTAGTCTCTGAGGTACATGTAGTTCATTTCTTGCTAACCTCTCACCTCACAAATTCCATCATTCCCTCTCTCTTTGTTCAAGTCAACCTACCTTTAGCTTCCAGAAATTTTCTTACCCACACCTGTAATCACCTACATCTCAAGATATAATCTGAAAAGCTCTTCCTAGGAAAATAATTACCAACTCAGTGCATAAGACGGGCTACAGCTGCCAGAAAATAACTTCAGCTGTAGTTTAATTAAAGTTATTTACCATAATTTTATTTTTTTTTATATAGTCCCAGCAGTTGTTTATCCAGTGGAGAACATCACTGTTACAGAAGGTGAAAACAGGACTTTAACATGTAATGTTTCTGGGAGTCCTACACTATCTGTAACATGGATAGAGGTGAGGACTGGAGTCCGTTCAATGGGAATCACACGTGACCTCACACATATCAACAGGAATGAGTCTGGGGAATATACATGTGAAGTGAGCAACTCTTGTGGAAATGATACCACAAGCACATTTGTCATTGTGCAGTGTAAGTGACAGTATTTTTGAGCTTTATTCAGACTGTTTCTTGTAAGATTAGACATGTATACATGTTTCTTAGCTAGGTAGGCTAATAAGTCTTCACACACAGATCTATTTTTGTTTGACAGTAGCATTAGTTTTTCCAGTACAATCAAGCAAATCACCTGCTGTTTGGCTGACAAGGCAGTGTGCCAGTTTGACTTAATTCAAACATGACTGTTGCTTTTTGCCAGTTTGAGCTGCATAAGGTTATTTTTAATAAACATTATTATAATTTCAATCAATATTCTGGACACAATATAATTTTCAACAAGTTGTATTTGAAGGGGTACATGTACATGGAAATAGACTGTGGTTATACTGTATGTAAGTTCCAACATGCAGAGAAAGCTGTGTTTGATAACATGGGGCCAGTAGGTTTGGCTGTAATGGCTACTGGTTTCTATCATTTGCTTGCCTGTCAGGCAAGTGATGTTTGTTCAGAGAATTGTTGAGGAAATTCCAAATTCAGAAGTACTGTAGAGTTGATGTTATTGTATAGTATACACTGTAAGTTAAATCTGAAATTAATTAATCATGCTACTGAGAACGACTTTTGGACTGTGACATGGTAGTCACAGCCTCACTGAAGTCCAAGCACAAGCATTGGTTTTCTTTGCCCTCAGAAGTAGAAATTTGTGCATTTATGAACCTAGAAAATATGTTACCTCAACACAACAAACTGCAGCTACATGTGTAAAGACAAAACATTCATTTATACCATTCTTGAAGTTCTTGGCTGTATGGTTGCAAGCATGCTACAGTACTGGTCAAAGGGATTACAGCACCTACACGCGCACAAAATGCGTCCAGTCTGCGTGTAGTATTCGTGGACACTGCGTGTAAGGTGCATGTGAGGTGCGTGTAATTACATGCGTGTAAAATTTACTGATCTGGTAGTTCCATGCATTTGCATGTAATTTCACCTGTATGCATGTATTTTAATAGGAAGAAGAAACCTTTGTTATAAATACACACATTGCGTGTATTTTGCAAAACAAAAAGCTACTACTAACTTGTATTCGATACACACGACTCTCAGACCTCTCAATGTTTACAACAAAAAGTAAATTTAAAAGCCAACAAGCATTGCTAAATAAGTGGACTAGCTCAAGCACCTATCAAACAAATACTCTTTCTTAATCTGTAGCAGCCCGCACTTCTGCTTAACATCAAAACTTAATTCTTAAGGATCTCTGAGCTTTCGTTTACGTTAGAACACGTACAATGTATGTCCCAACGTGATGTTTACCCACACACGAAATGTCATTTCAACTCCTGTTCCTTCAATAACAATGAACTAGGGATTCAAACAGAAACTCACAGACTCCTCTTATTCTTAAATGGCGAAAAATCGAAGCTTTTTGCGATCAAAATCTAAGCATTCATTAATTTTCAATTCATCAGATTCTTGTGTAACCTTCTGACCACAACTTGCAATGGTTACACCCGGTGCGTTCGATTATTCAGCTTAAATTACAATGCATTTGACTACTGATAAGCTAGCTTCAAGAAAAACATTCAGATTTTCATCCATGGGTTAAGTCCGCTTGACAGATTGTCGTGTGTCTGTATATGTGTACGCGTATGGAATAAAATGAAGTAGTAACAACGAACATCTTTCACACTGTAGAGGATTTTTGCGTGGGTAGATTTGGGTCACATGCTAGGCAACACTATTCAAGAAACAGATTGAATTTCATTTTTATCAGATCAAAACAATGTTTTCAGATAGAGAACATTTGCTTC